TCTGTATTAGAGGATAAACAGTCTCATAAGATAAATTATAATCATTATATGATAAGGAATGTTGTTCAAGTATCATATAAGATGGTGTGACATTTTAATTTTTACACTTATATGTGCACCTGGTCGAACAAATTATAAGTGATAGAATTAAATGTCGTAATTTTAGAGACTCTCTAATTGTATGAACAATGTAATAACTAATTGGATTATTAAGTTGAATTCAAATTCAAAATGATCCTCAATTGCTATTTATGAGATTCATAAACATGGAACCGTTTTGCCACTTAATTCTCATGGTTTAATATTGCATTTGATTTCCATTAGAATAGTCCATGCGTAACTGCCTCTTTATTTTTTTTTCAAATACACATCGTGTATATTAAAAGGATGAGTTGGTCACCTTGGAAGTGTGGTTGAATTCTTCTAACGTAAATTAGCCAAGCACATTCACTCTTCATACGCACTTTAAGAACAAACCTTCTTCCTTTATTCGTTTTTGGGGGCTTTTCATTCGTAATTCTTTTTCTTTTCCATTTCAAAGAGAAATACATTGATTGGGACCAAATTTTTCATAAGTTGTTCAAGTCATCTCTATTACTCGGCAAAATTTGGCAACGGTCGAAGGTTTCAGTCAAGGAGCTACAAGTCTGAAACGTGGTAGGATTATCCTGGGAGCGAGCTAGCCAGACCCGTCCGAATAGCTATCGGGATACAGGGGCTATCTTTCTTCAAGGCCAGTCCGTTTTAACGGGCGATCCTGCGATAAGTATTCTTATCTTTTCTTTATTCATTTTCATTTATTCTAATTATTGTTATTATTTTTTGTTCTTGCATTTGGCGGTTTGTCTGGTGATTTGTATAAACTCGGGATTTTTATCTGGTTAAACTCGCACTTTTAATATCAGTTTTCTAACAATTGCTAATGTTTGTTTTCTTTTATTTTTCTTTCTGTACTTGTTTTGTACAGGTGATGAATTGATAAAGATGTTGATTTCGAGAGAGCTTCCGCTAGAAAACGTAGTTTGTAAATCATTGTAAATTTAATTTCCAAAATCTTTAGTAAATATATGTTTTGGAGTTCTAGTTAGTTTTGAAGGTGGTTAGCCTGTGCACTTGGTTAGGTTAGAACCGGGTGTGGCGGTAACGCCCCTGTTTCCCTTTAAATTTTCCGCTGCACAATTTTGATAATTTTAAATAAAGTCAATATTTGTTTTGGAATAAATTATTATTTAATGGTACTTTTGGGTGGGAAATTTGGGAGTGTTACAGAGCAACCCCAAATTTGGAAATACAGGTGGTATCAGAGTAACCCTGCGACAGTGTGTTGATCCGTTGGATATCGGGCAAGCACTTACCGGGGGAAAAGATTCTGGGATTTGATTGAGATTGGTTTACTTGAGATTTAATTCAAACGGATTAAGAGTAATACTCATACCAACAAGGTGCATCTCCTTTTAAGGGATCTCATCACCCAAGAACTCCAAAGTTAAGCGTGCTTTCACGGGAGTAGTCTTGGGATGGGTGACCCCCTGGGAAGTTTCTCAGGGCACGCACAAGTGAGGACAAAGTGCACGGAAAAGGCTAGTGACGGTTTGTGAGGACAGTACTAGAGGTCAGAAGTAACTACCTTGGGGCATACGGGGCCGGAGTATTACAGCGGGGCTCCTCTTTCTGTTGCCTCACATTTAGCAAGTGGGAAAAATGTTTCCTTAACTGGTGCCTCATGGCGAATTTTGTCAAGAAACGATGGGCAAGTTCTTGCCACGAGTCAATGCTGCCTTCGGGCAGTCGGTTGAACTGTTCGTATGTCGGTCCTTCCAAGGTGGAAAGGAACCAACGACACAAATATTCATCCGACGTCCCCATCATCATCATGTTGTTTTGATACCTGCTATAGTGTTCCTGGGCATCCGTCTTCCCCTCATAAGGCTTTATGGGTTTCCCTCGATACTTACCGAGGATCTGAGCTGCCAATACACTTGGGGTGAAAGGCGTCTTTGTGCGAAGCTGGATGAGGGGTTCGCCTGATCCCTCGACGAGCTTTTGCTTCATATCCTCCACTTGTGCTAGTATGGCGGTGTAATTCGGGTCTCGCTTTGGTGTGGATGTCGTCGGGGGCATTAGACGTGCCTCCTCGAGCTAGCGTCAGAGAGCCTTGATGATTTCGTCTTTGGGATCCCTTGGGGCAACCCCTCGGGAGTTCGCCCTGCAGGATTGAGTGTGGTTGATATGATGCTTGGCATCATCTGCGTGAAGGAGCTCCTTGCCTTTATCCCAGGGGGTCTTCTGCTGGTCGCCTTCCCATTGAGGCGGTCTTGGACCCCTCGGCGTTCAGGAGCTATCCCAAGCCTTTCGAGGGCAGAGGTCTGGGGTCTCTCCTTGTTCATGCACCGCGTGTCCCGGGACTGGACCTCCTGGGAAGCGGTGTCCTGTGCTAAGACCCTCTCGACGTTGCCAATCCGCCCAGTGGGGTTGTTTAAAGGAGGAGGTGGTAGAAAATGGACAACGTTTCCTCCATGATGGGACTGGAGTGGTGCTTGCATCATGAAAGCACTAGAGTTCATGGCCAGACTTTGGACGAAAGCTGTGAAAGCGGCCTGAAGGTCGATGGTTGGAGCCGAGGGGAGAACTTGGTTCTCACTCCGATCCTTCTTGCGGTTATCAAGACCAATACGTGCATCAGGGGCAGCCTTCTGGAGCTGCTGACGGGGTCAACCGTGGCCTGTTCCATTTCAGCAATAGTGCCACCCTCGGGAATCCGGTTGGATACCTCAGCTCCATTGTTTTCGCTAAGGGCTATGTGGTTGTCCTCAAGGGTTTTGGATTGGCCTCGAGTTCTTCCCATTTTGGTAGGTGTTTTTGTGTTTGGTGAAGGGGAGAGTTTCTTACTTGATTGTTCGGACCTCTCAATGAGAGCACCAAATGACGGATAATATACGCGGGGGTAGCTTATCCGAAGGGTTAGAATGTTTTTACATGGACTGTAATTTGCTGGTCTGGTCTGGTCTAGTCTGATCTGGTCTGGTCTAATATGGTCTGAACTGGTTTTGTCTGGTCTAGTCTGGTTTCTTTGTATTTTTATAACTATCCAAGTCTGGTCTGGTCTGGTCTGAACTGGTCTGGTCTGGTCTGGTCTGGTCTGATCTGATCTGGTCTGGTCTGGGACGAATTACAGTCCAAGTAAAAACATCCTTATTACGACAAATAACTTAGAGACAAGTCAGAGCAATAAGTAAGAGAGAGAGAAAGAGTGAGATATATTAATCAATTCTGATTTAGGATCCTTTACAAGAGGAGTAAAGGATGCTATTTATAGCAGTCATAAATGCTAGGCGGGGACACATGTCAAACATGTGACGGCCGAGGGTCACCTCAATCAGGGTGGCACCGGCATTTGCATGTGCACCGTATTAAATGCGGTGGTTGGACATGACGCCACATTGAATGTGGTGGTTGCTTGTCTCTAAAAGGAATATTCACCGAGAGGGCTTGTTACAAAAGGCATTGTTGAAGGTAAGTCCCGTAGATCCGAAAGCCCAACACGAACTTTGGATATATCAGGAATGGACCAGAATCAAAGTGTATAATAAAATATAAAATATGAACTCGCTAATACCCAAAAGCCCACTCGTATTAATTAACCTGTCTGATTACAAGGAAACTTCTCGATCGGTAGGTCCGAACAATGCTTTAATACAAGAAACAAGGGTAATAATGCTATTCTAGAGCTTGAGTATTGAAATGTTAACCCTTACAATGATTTTAAACCTTCTATTTATACTAATGGAGAGCATGGGCTGCTCTGTGCTGATTGGCCGTCGTTCCACCGACTTGATCACCCATGTTTCCACCCGATGATGTCACAATCTGGCATTAATTGCACCTGGCCACTTGCTGGTTTTCCGTTGCTCGAACGGGATGTTGGACCATGCTGAAGACGCTGCCAAATTGGTCCGAACTCCGTTCGATATATCTTCTTTTTGGGCCGGCCTTTACTTGGACCGAACCTCGTTCGGTATTAGTTCTTCACCGGATCTACTCATCATAGAGTAATGGACTCATTGTTTGGGCCGGATATCATGGGCCTGTTTGATCCGGGTATTGGGCCTCTGGATCAATATCCCAACACAAGTCCCCTACTTCCGATGTCTCGAATGACAGTGAGTGCATTATGAAGTATGAACACCAATGTTGCAACTGCTGAATGGCGATCGGGGTACAGAAATGGTCAGTTCCCCATACTGTGATTTGATGGCTGTCGTTTTATTTTCCCCATATTCATCATGATAACCGTCGTTTAGTCTTTTCATTAGACACGTGTTTAGCTTAAATGCTTCTAGTGACGTGTCGCTCCCTGATTGGTCCTTGACACGGCGGTTCAAAGGCTATAAATTAGCCTTTAACTTTTCAAATCCGGGTTTCGATTCTGCAATTTCCTTCGCATCGCTGCTTTCTCTGAAATTTCTTCCAGCTTTCGTCGCTCAGGTACTTTCCCTCCCTTACTTTCTCGCCTCATCCCTGACTCGGTCGAGATGAATTCCCAACGGTGTTCTGATTCGGAAATGGCTTCTCAAGGGGAGGACCGTGATGTGGAGATTATCACCGTCCCTTTTGATGAGGGTTCCAAGGCGGCGACGTCGGAGTTTAGGGCGGAGACGGATGATTCCTCCGACAGCTCTTCTTCCTCGAGTGAAGATTCTGATGATACCAAGTCCGAAGATGAATTAATTTCCATGGCGGCCGGACGTCCCAACGATTTCCCTCGTCATACCCTTGACCTAAAACTGATTAGGGAGAGGCGGCAAAAACTGATCTCCCACAATAGGGCCGAAATTCCGGCCCTAATCCCAGACCCAGTGAATTTCCGACTGCGAGCTGGGCTTCACCCAATGCGTCATAGGCCTGGGATGGTTGTAGTTCATTTTGACTCAATTAGGGTCGGGCTTAGGTTTCTGCTACATTCTTTTTTCGTTTCATTTTTTAATTTCTATGAAATTGTACCGGCCCAAATTATGCCGAACTCCTATCGGGCAATGGCGGATTTTATTTGCCGTTGTAAAGATGCCGGTGCCCGACCAACCTTAGATCTATTCCACCAATTTTTTAAGGTAGCCCCTCAACAAACGCATGGCTATCTGGCCACTAGTGCCCGAACGGGACATATCCTGTTCAAGGGCAATCCGAATTCGATCAAAGGGTGGAAAGATCGGTTCTTCTTCGTGTCTGTCCCGGACGGCCTAGTCCCCCGCAAATGGAATGCCTTTCCCCGCAAAACTCCTGATCCAGTCCTTACTGAAGAAATTTACAAGGATGTGCTTGTTGTGGAGAAGGATAAATGCGTGGATATCATGAGTTATCTGACTCCCGATCGGCTAATCGAAGCCGGGATAGGTACTGCCCGTTCTCTTGGGTTTACTTGTTTTGAGAAATCAAGTGCCATGGTCCGGGCGGTCCTTCCCGTGCGAGAAACGTTCTCATCTGTTTTCTAGTTTCTCACATGCCAAGGCCGCTCGGTACTAACATTTTCCTTAGTCATTTTTCCGCACCAAATCCAGACTTACCCATGGATAACAACAGAGTTCTCGCAGCTGGTGGGGTTGGCAAGTGGAAGAAAGCCAGGAAGAACCCCCCAACCTACTCCCTCTACTATTATTGCTGAGGATGCTGGGTCTTCTCAACCAGTTCCAGAGCCACAGCCACTGCAACAGGTCCATCAGGACCAATTCGATGCCATGTTGGTCGATGATCGGTTTTGTTCTGATCAGATGCAACAATTTCCTGAGCACTTCCAAGCTGCTCAAGAGACCGGTCAGGGTGCGGGTGATATACCCACCGTCCAGCTGTCTGGCCAGGTTGACCGGATCTCACTGGCGGATCTGGTTCATGATGTTGTAGAAAGAGGTGGATGCTCAGCAAGCCAGATTTGGTCTACCTCCGCTTTCTTCAACAATTTCACCGTTCCTAAGCTGTCGGTCGAGCAATCTGAGGAATGCTTGGCCTTAGCAGCTCTGAAGGTATCTTATAGTTTTTTTTATTTCTCATAGTTTAAATTTCCTTTCATACCATCTCATTTCTCGAACGACATTCTGCAGGTTGGGCTTTACAGTTTGGAGCTGAAGGAAGCTCGACTGGCTAAGGAGCGGGAGCTGATCGTCGCTCAGACTTCAGCAGAGCAGAATGCAGTTGCTGCTTTTACTGCTCTGGAATCCGAACGGAAAGCCTCTGCGGAGGAGAAAAAACGCCTCGAGTTGGAGCTTGGTGAACTCCGGGTTCAGCTCGGGGCCTCTCAATCCAAGGTTCATGCTGCCGAAGCTGCCTTGGTTAAGTTTGAAGAGCACGTCCCTCGTATCCCCGACGGCCCTGCTGAGGTGAAGGTTGATTTGTCTGCCGTCCGGGAATCATTCAAAGGGTCTGAGGAGTTCGCTATTTTGAAGAAAGATTATGCTCAACAGGAACTCCCAGTCTCCTTTGGTAATTATCTCGAGCGTTTCTCCACTGGTGATGCTCGCCGGAGCGAGGGGGTCAAACTGCTCGACCAGGATCCAAGGGGAAAAAAGTTCAATGACTCCCTGGCCTGGTCTCTTTATGTAATGGGCTGCCAGCACATCATGGCCCCCTTCGTCGCCAAGCTGCAAGAATTGCTAGGGAGGTCGGTCGAGCCGGCTGACCTTCCTCAAGCGCCCATCGTTGAAGCCCAGTATGAGAAGTATCAACGGGACTTGCAACGGGCTGCTGATCGCGAAGCAGGGAAGGAGCCTGATCCCCCTACTGACTCGGATGAGGAGGAGGGTGATGAAGAAGACGATAGAGTTGAACAGTAGATTTAGAATCTAACACTTTTAGCAACTGTAATACTTTTGGCAATTGTAATCCCTCTCCCCAATCTGTATTTCCCGGCCGATAGAGCTGATGAATATATATATATATATATATATATATATATATATATATATATATATATATATATATATATATATATATATATATATATATATATCTTTTGCACAAAGCTCTATATACTCTCTTTTGCCTTTATTGGAATGATTTCTCACCATTCGGGATTCGGTCCGTTTTGTAGGACTTAGCAGTTTTCTGACTTTATTTTTTACTTAACACCCCTAACGTCGTATGATTGCCGCTCGGGCAGTAGATAGTTTTGACAGTTTACAAGGGACTAGCCCCTTGCTTTTTGTATTGCTGGCCGTTCGGGCGTCTGTTCATATTTTAGGACTTAGTAATTTTTTCTGGCCTCAGACGTTTCTGCCAGTTTTACCGCATTTGGCTTCCTTCATATGTTGATAGTCGTTCGGGCTTCTGATCGTTTTTTAGGACTAAGCAATTTTTTCTGGCTTCAGATGTTTTTGATAGTCTACCCGCATCTGGCTTCCTTCATATGTTGATAGCCGTTCGGGCTTCTGATCATCTTTTAGGACTTAGCAATTTTTTCTGGCCTCAGATGTTACTAATTCTCTGTGAGCCCGTTCGTTACTCGGCTAATTTAAAACATCTTAGTTATTTGGCTCGCTGTTTGTTAATTGCCCGTTCGGGGTTCGTGCCTAATAATGAGCCATAAATACATTCTGATTAATCATAACCACTTAATGCCACATGTTGTTTACGGATTAGGGTTTTGGGCGGCACTTTCCCTATTTATAGAGAGGTGTTTGATCCTCATTTTTCTTGCTGTTTCCTTCTAAGCTTTCTCGCGTATCTTCAGTCTTTCTCTCTCTAGAATTCTCAAGATTCCTCAAGTGATTTTATGTATTTCCCTTCTAGCTCAGAATCTGAAGAAATGCTGTTGATTCGCATAGGAAAAACTTCCACTGGGAACAAGGCTGAAGGCTCTTCTTCCCAAGTACCTAATTCTGGCAATCCTTTCGCAGGAAAAGACACCGAACAGCCTCGTGATGACGGATGCCTATCAGGGGACGACGTTCAGATTTATAACAAGGGAATTCCCGAGCGGCCACCCAGCATTGCCCCACACTTTAACCGCATTCGCAAACAGAAACAACGTCTTCCTGAAGATGTCGAACGGCAACTTGGCCAATTATTGCCTCCACCAAGGGAGTATTATGCTGGATTCATCCGGCATCCAATGAGGCATCGACCGGGACACGTGCTAGTGCATCTTGATGCATTGATTGCTGGGCTTCGCTTCCCCCTCCACCCGTTCGTCGTGGAGTTCCTGCGTCGGGTTTCTGTTCTACCCGCTCAGTTCGTACCTAGTACCTACCGCATCCTGGCAGACTTCATAATTCGATGCCAGGAATTGAGGATCGCCCCAAGTGTTGACCTATTTCTTCATCACTACTGCTATCAGCCTTATTGGATGACCGGGTACTTGAAACTGGTAGCCCGCTCTGATCGTCAATTGTTTACAGATAATCCTACCCCGCTGGCTGACTAGGAGGAGCAATTTCTATTTTTTCGGGTAGGTGATTCTCTGCCAATTCCGGATAGGTGGAACGCCTATCCCGTTCGGGATTCTCAGCCTAGAGTAGATGCCGTTCTACACTCCCAAGCTGAATCTCTGCGTATGGGAGGAACCCGAAGTCTTCGGGGTTTTATTACCACTTCTAACATGCTATCTGCCGGGATTGGTAAGTGTAAAAGGGCTTTAACCCGATCGTCATTCCTTCTTTTAATTTAGCTTCTTATCTCTTATTCCCTTTGTTGTAGGTGTGATATCCCCCATACCCGTTCGGCGTTCCATATCTGCCGCTACTCTGACGGCTTCCTCCAGAAAGGGCAAGGAGAAAATGATTGTTGATCATGCATCTGCGGAGCAGACCCGAAAGAAACGCAAGGGGAATGACGGCAACATATTGATCCCGGTCGATCACGTAGTCGATTTGACCGGATCGGAGGCTGACCCCAAAAGATCTATGCCTGCCAAACCAAAAACTCCAGCTCTTTCTGATGCGCCGGTCGATGATCGGATGTTTGTTGAGTTCTCAAACATGGGACCTAGAGCAGAAGGGAGATACATGTTCGGGCTAATGCCATCATCCATGTGGTGCAGCACTGCGATTAAGGTTCCCCCCAGTTTCACGAACTTGACTCACTGGTCAGATCTTTTTGAAGCAGGTCATCAAGAAGCGCTCAAGGTACATTTAATCTTGGTCCACACCTTCCTACTCTTTTGTTTGTTCATTTTATCTGTCTTCCTTTGTTACTTATCTTCAGGCCGGTGTATATTATCACAAGGCCTTCCTTGCGGCCGAAAAGGAAATGAAACTCCTGGCCAGCGATCGGGATGACAGCCAGGTCCTTCTTTCTGCCGCTCGGAAATTAGCGGCGGATTTAAAAAAATGTGCCAAAGAGGGTGAGAAAGCGAAGGCTGCCCTGGCTGCAATGCAAGAGAAGACCCGACGTCGCGATCGGGAGATTAAGGAACTCCGGGCCAAGGTGCGGGCTGCCAAATCTGCCGGGATCAAATTTGACAAGGTCGATGGTGACAATCTTTCCGAACCTTATACTGTCAATACTTCCAAGATTGCCAATCAATCGATAGTTGACTATCAACGGGGTAAGGGGCTGAACGTCGCTCTGGAGAACACAACCCGACAATTCCTTGAACCTCATCTTGGCCAATTCTTACGCGAAAGCGAGGATCCCATCAAGGCAGGCATCGAACTCCTGGACAACACGCCGGAAGGGAAATCTTTTCTGGATGTCCTGACCGAGAAAACTGTGACGCAAAGTCAGGATCTGCTTTTAGATAGGAACCTCGATCTGATCTTGGAACATTTCCCTAAACCGTTCGATCCTGATGAATTGGGCTTTGATGATCTGTTCGAGAACACTTATGACCGGATCATGGAGAATAGGACAAAAGCAGTGCCTGATGATGCAGCGCAAGCAGGGAGCTCCCAACCTCCACCTTCCCCGAACGGCAGTCCTCCAGTAGCATATCCTTGTAATATTTTGCTTTCTTGTCTTTTTCTTTTGTATATTCCGGCTAGTAATGCCGAAGAATAAACTGGACATTTTTCTTTAATTGTGTTGAGGTTTCTCTTCTGTTTTTTCTTTGATTTCTCTCGCTCATAATCTTTCTGGTGTTGCCGAACATCATTCGGCTCATGCATCTTTATATTTCTGACATTGTTTCCAAGCCGTTTTGATCCCTGTGTTCGGTCATAAAATCAGGGTCAAATTCTTTTGGCTGAAATAATGTCTTCCTCCAAATCGTTCGTAATTCAGTCATCTATCTGGGAATTCTGATTCTGCAGAAGACAATCTATGTTACCGAACGTCGTTCGTTTTGACCATAATTGTTGTGACACGTTTCCCAAGCTCGTTTTGATCCCTTTATCGTTCGTGATCCACGGGGTCAAAATTCTTTTAGCTGAGGTGAATCCCTCCAAGCCGTTTTGATCGTGACCACAGGGTCAAACTCTCAGCCGAGACGGAGGCTCCCTCCAAACTGCTAACCCGTTCATCATTCGGTCATCCGGAATGATCCCACGTGTTAACAAGCTGAGGTGAGACTATCCCCCTTCCAAACCCATAATTCCGATGCATTCCGAACTATTCTCTCTGGCTCGTATCATCCATATTGGGGGTCTGAGGTAACCCTTTTTAAACTGTAAGCAAGGTCACCGGATCGGGCCATTCCTTATTTATAGCTAAAAGGGCGACTTGCTTCCAAATCAAGTTAATGACTGAGGCGAGATTTTTCAAAACCATAGTTCCGATTCCCCGGACGACAATCCGTACCTTATCCGAACGTCGCTCGGTTCGTCCATACTTATAGTCTTGACACCATCTCTAAGCCGTTTTGATCCCTTTGCCCGTACGTAATTACAGGGTCGAATTTAGCTAAGTTGATGACTCAGCTCCCTCCAAACTGTTAACCCGTTCCTCATTCGGTCATCCGGAATGATTTTGCGTGTTAAAAAGCTGAGGTGAGAATCACTGACATCAAACTCCAGGCCATTTTGATCCCTTTAACAATGCGTAATTACAGGGTCAAATTCTATTAGCTGAGATAATGGCTCCCTCCAAACTGCTAACATGTTCCTCATTCGGTTGTCCAGAACGATTCCCATGTTAACCGCTGAGATGAGACTATCTGAGTGTCAAACTCCAAGCCGTTGGCTGAGAATGACTTTCCTTCCATGTTGTTAACCCGTTCGTCCTTCGGTCATCCGGAATGATTACGTGTTAACCATGTGCTAAGATTTTCTGAGCATCGATTCTTCAAGCCGTTTTGATCTCTTTATCCGTTCACAATTCTAGGGTCAAAACTCTCTTAGCTGAGAATGATTTTCCTTCCATGTTGTTAACCCGTTCGTCATTCGGTCATCCGGAATGATCGTGTTAACCATGGGCTGAGATTTTCTGGAAGT